GCGTTCAGAAACACAGGAATCTGTTTGTATTTGGGACTCAGCGGGTTTTCTGAATGCACCATGAGGGCTAGCAACTTAGGACTATAACTGGGGCAGGAATTTCTGTCCTAAGTCATTGTAGTTGTAAATTGAGTCCATACCTCTGATTTTACAACCATTTTTACCACGGTGGTGAGTCGAGTCACCGAATCCGATCAAAGTACGGTGATGATTTTACCTTGTTTTAAATTTTTTAAATTTTGGTGAGATTGTCACATAGGGGATATTCTTATACTTACTTATTAAATTTATATACTACCTAATGTTGTTGTTTGGGGCGATTCTAGGCGGCTGATATATCTTTTATACATATTGTCAACTTGCAAAGCTTTCAAGTTGCCATGAGCAGGAGGGAGGGAGAACTGATAGAGCTGATTGATTTCCCTAACTGAAGCTGCATTCCATACATTCTTCCTGACCGCAATCAGTCGGAGGGTGTTGGGTTTCAAAGCCAGCCAAAGTGGTGAATTGGAGAATGTGATTTATGACATGGCCAGGGAGGAGGGGAGAGACAGGGTCATAGGGGAACATAAATCTACGTGGGATTAGTTCTAACTGCATCCGAATATTGCCGAAATGGTGCTCCTAATAAATGACTGTATTTCTTTTGAAGTTCAGCTCATGGTTCATGAATTAATTAGGGCATCTTTCGGAAACTTCACACATATGTAAAATATTACTTACTATTAATAAATAATATTAATGCATATTAATATTTATAATTATATATAAACACATAGGATTATTTACGATAAAATATTTCCGTATACATATATTTTGCATAGGCTTATGTCATAATGGACCAGGGGAAGATTGTTCCCCCGCCCTGCTCCTTTTCCTTGTCATCTCCATTAATTTTAATGTTAATTTTAATGTTCATATTTATGATCTTAATATTTTAAAGTTTTGCCGTGTTGTTTTTATTCTGGGGTGAGCCGTCTACAGATGCCTCTAGCTGAGATGGGAGGCATATAAATTCGATAAATAAATAAAATAATAACTTTACCAATAAGCTGCCCAGGTAGTTTGGGCCAATAAAGTGAATTATGACCGTTTTTCGCACTTACGACCTTGGCGACGTTCCCCAGGATCACGTGATCAAAATTGGCAACTGACTCGTATTTATGACAGTTGCAGTCTTTTGCAACCTTCTGCAGAGCAAAGTCAATGGGGAAGCAGGATTCACTTAACAACCGTGTGAACTAAGTTAACAACTGCCATGATTCGCTTAACAACGGTTGTTAGAAAGGTTGTAACACGGGGCAAAAGTCACTTAACTACTAGAAAACATCAAATCTCTATTAACATCTGAGGTGTCGATGTTTTCTACAATTTTAAAACCAATAAAGTATATTTTTTTTAAAAAAGTCACTTAACTACTTGTCTCACTTAGCGACGTAAATTTTGGCCTCCATCGCAGTTGTAAGTAGAGGACTACCTACACAGGTCTAACTGCTATTGCTATTTTCTATTTTTGACAACAAAATCTGCAGAAAAATGCCGGCTGGGGTAATTGAGAAGAAATTCTAGACGACCCGGAGAACGAGGCAGAAAAACGGATGCCTTTTTTGCCGAGACAAACTTGGAAGGAACCGAATTTCAGAATATTAGCAGAGAGACAGGAAGGTGAAACCTGCTGATTGGCAAATATTTCAGACAGACCAAATAAACCCGTTTAAAAGAGGAAGTCTCTTTGATTTCCCAATTTCCGCCACTTCCTGATGGGTGAACTTCATGACCCAGAATTCCCCAGCCAGCATAAACATGGCCGAGGATTCTGGGAGTTGAAGTCCATACGGACAATTATATTTCTTTATTGATTAAATTGGTTTACCGCCCCTAATCTTTGACTTGGGTCCACAATTGGAACCGGAATTTCTCTTGCTAAGAAAGCAAGGGTTAATTTTACGACCTTGTGTACCACAGTTGTTAAGCGAATAACTGCAGTTCTTCAGTGAATTCCACTGGCTGTTAAATGAATCTGGCTTCCTCCATTGCTTATCTGAAGCCCTCTGGGAAGGTCACAAATGGAGATCACGTGACCCCAGGAGGCTGCAGCCATCGTAAATACATGCCTGTTGCTAAGCAGCCGAATTCTGATCACGTCACTGTGGGGATACTGCAACGGTCATAACTATGAGGACCGGATGTAAGTCACTTGTTTCACTGCCACCGTAACTTTTAACAGGTGCTAAGCGAATAGTTGTAAGTCAAGGACTATGTTTAGGCCAGTGTTTCTCGAACTTTGTGGCTTTAAGGTGGGTGGACTTCAACTCCCAGAATTCCCCAGCCAGCCTGCTTTAAGAGGGTAGACTTCCATTCCCAGAATTCCCCAGCCAGCCTGCTTTAAGAGGGGTGGACTTTCACTAACAGAATCCCCCAGCCAGCAATGCTTTTAGAGGGGTGGGCTTCCACTCCCAGAATTCCCCAGCCAGCAATGCTTTTAGAGGGGTGGGCTTCAACTCCCAGAATTCCCCAGCCAGCCTGCTTTAAGAGGGTAGACTTCCATTCCCAGAATTCCCCAGCCAGCCTGCTTTAAGAGGGGTGGACTTTCACTAACAGAATCCCCCAGCCAGCAATGCTTTTAGAGGGGAGGACTTCCACTCCCAGAATTCCCCAGCCAGCAATGCTTTTAGAGGGGTGGGCTTCCACTCCCAGAATTCCCCAGCCAGCAATGCTTTTAGAGGGGAGGACTTCCACTCCCAGAATTCCCCAGCCAGCCTGCTTTAAGAGGGGTGGACTTTCACTAACAGAATCCCCCAGCCAGCAATGCTTTAAGAGGGGTGGGCTTCCACTCCCAGAATTCCCCAGCCAGCAATGCTTTAAGAGGGGAGGACTTCCACTCCCAGAATTCCCCAGCCAGCCTGCTTTAAGAGGGGTGGACTTCCACTCCCAGAATTCCCCAGCCAGCAATGAGTTAAGAGGGGTGGACTTCCACTCCCAGAATCCCCCAGCCTGCATGCTTTAAGAGTGTGGACTTCCACTCCCAGAATTCCCCAGCAGTCATACTGGTGGCTAGGGAATTCTGGGACTTGATGTCTACTCATCTTAAAACTGCCAAGGTTGGAAAAATCTACTCTAGGCCACGTGTGGCTCGAACAGCCCATAAAGAAATTAAAAACTAAAATGAATCCGACTGGTTGCTTAAAAAGACCCCATAAGCCAGACTTAATTTAATTACAAATTAAATTTAACTTAGTTTAACATTGCAAAACAAGGAATTTCCACATTTGGGGGGGGGGTCTGCCTCCTTGCAAAAGATACAATCCTGATTGGCAGCCCCCCCCCTTCCTCCTGCCGCTTTGCTCTTCACCTTCCTACCACAAAGGTCCAACCAACTTAACTTCCTCCAGTTAAAAGTTTATTTTTAAATAAGGAAGTCTGAGTAATATGTGAGCCGTTAAAGGAAGTGCAATACCACGCTGTGGCCACCAGATGGCGCAGTTAGCCCAGATCAAAGAGGATAGGAGCCACCCAATGGAGGATTAGCAAACTCTGCAAAACAACAACAACACACAAACAACTTTCTGGGTTAAGAAATGCCTCTTTTTTTTTTTTTGCAAAAAGGTAAGGAGGCCAAGAGGTAATTTATTAAGCAAGTCACTGGGCAGCCTGTGTTAACTACAAGCTATTTTGGAAAAAAAATAAATGTGAGATTCTCACACAGCAAATCTACAACCCTCCTGAATTTACAACTACAACTGCCCCTCTCTGAAGGCATATACAAGTAGTCCTCGACTTACAACGGTTCGTTTAGTGACCGCTCATAATGACGACACTGAAAAAAAGTGGCTTACGACCGTTTTTTCACACTTACGACCGTCGGAGCGTCCCATCGGGCATATAATCAAAATTGGGATGCTTGGCAACTGGTTCTTATTTAATGACGGTCGCAGTGACCCAGGGGTCATGTGATCTCGTTTTGCAACCTTCCGACAAGCAAAGTCAATGGGGAAGCCAGATTCACTTAACAACCGTGTGACACAGCTATAACGATGGCAAAAACGGTTGTAAAAAAGGGGGGCAAAACTCCCTTAGCAAAAATCTCATTCAGCAACATAAATTTTGGGCTCAGCTGCGGTCGTACGTTGAGGATTACCCGCAAAATACAAATCAAATAAATTGGGACCAAAAATCGATTGTTTAAGCAGTGTAGTCTTTAACCAAGGTACCACAATTGCACCTGATTTTGCCTTTTTTGGCACAGTCGTTAAGCGAATCACTGTGGTTGTTAAGCCAGACATCAAGTGACCGTAAACTGAGACCTTCCTTAGCCACTCTGATTGTCCTTGTCGGAAGCCTAACGGGAAGACATTAACCTGCTGTATGAAATCGACAAGACAGTTGTTGTGTGCACACATGTGCTCCAGATCTTTTCGTCACATGTGGCCGAGACCCCTCCAGAAAACAGAGACTTCATTCTCTCATTTTCTCCAAGCCTTTAAAATTTTAAAACTGCTAAGCCCACAGCTGAGCTCCATTTCTTTAAAAAAAAAAAACAAATTTGAAATTAAAATTTAAAAATTAATTTAAAATCTAAATCAAATTTAAATAAATCCACAAGGGATCTCAAAATGTATGGTTGCTAAGTGAGAAAATTTCTGTTGCTAAGTTGTTAAATGAGTTGTGCCCCCATTTTACGACCTTTCTTGTCCTGGTTGTTAAGCGAATCACTGTGGTTGTTAAGTTCATTACAAGGAGATCACATGACCCCAGGACACTTCAACCGTCATAAATATGCGTCAGCTGTCGCCAAGCGTCCGAATTTGGATCACATGATGCTACAACGGTCATAAGTGAGAAAAACAAACTTAAGCCACTTTTGCCAGTGCCGCTGTAAGTTCGAACGGTCACTAAATGAACTGTCGTAAATCGAGGACTACCTGTACATCGTAGACTTGGCTATCCAAAAAAGTATAAAATAATATTAATCCGTGGCGCATTTAAGCACAAAAACTCACCACAGTGCCCAGTCCATCGGCAGGGATGGGGGAAACGCTTTGCGACGTCCCTCCGCCGTTGCCGCCATCCGGATTGCGGGCGCCCAGTTGGGGGGACATGGTGGGTGATTCGTCGATGTAGGGCATGGTTTCCGAGCTGCCGGGACGAACTCTGACCTCCTCGTTGCCCTCCGCATCATAATCCTCCGGGGGGTAATTGAAGTCTGAGGAAAGGAAGGAAGGAAGCAGAATTGGTTATGAGAAAGGATAAAAAGATGAACAAACCTGGGATTTAGCCACCCAATCACCAGGCGACCGTGAGTTCTAGTCCTGCCTTAGGCATAAAAGCCAGCTGGCTGACTTTAAGCCAATCACTAGGTGAAAGTGAGTTCTAGTCCCGCCTTAGGAATAAAAGCCAGTTGGGTGACTTTGGGCCAATCACTAGGCGACAGTGAGTTCTAGTCCCGCTTTAGGAATAAAAGCCAGCTGGGTGACTTTGAGCCAATCACTAGGCGACAGTGAGTTCTAGTCCCGCCTTAGGCATGAAAGTCAGCTGGGTGACTTTGAGCCAATCACTAGGCGACAGTGAGTTCTAGTCCTGCTTTAGGCATGAAAGTCAGATGGGTGACTTTGGGCCAATCACTAGGCGACAGTAAGTTCTAGTCCCACTTTAGGAATAAAAGCCAGCTGGGTGACTTTGGGCCAATCACTAGGCGAAAGTGAGTTCTAGTCCTGCCTTAGCATGTAAGTCAGCTGGGTGACTTTGGGCCAATCACTAGGCGACAGTGAGTTCTAGTCCCACTTTAGGAATAAAAGCCAGCTGAGTGACTTTGAGCCAATCACTAGGCGACAGTGAGTTCTAGTCCTGCCTTAGGCATGAAAGTCAGCTGGGTGACTTTGGGCCAATCACTAGGCGACAGTGAGTTCTAGTCCTGCCTTAGGAATAAAAACCAGCTGGGTGACTTTGGGCCAATCACTAGGCTACAGTGAGTTCTAGTCCCGCTTTAGGAATAAAAGCCAGCTGGGTGACTTTGGGCCAATCACCAGGTGACAGTGAGTTCTAGTCCTGCCTTAAGCTTAAAAGAAGACCTGATTTGAACTCTTTTTTCTCATGCCATTCTTTCAACCGCTTCCCCCTTAAAAACACCCCCAAACTTAAAAATAATAATAATAATAAGTTTAAACCACTCAGCTGCAAGATTTACAGGTAGCCCTTGATTTATGACCACAACAGAGCCCCCAAGTTTTGTTGCTAAGCGAGTCAGTTGTTAAGTGAACTTTGCCCCATTTTACGACCTTTCCTGCCACGGTTGCTAAGTGAATCACTGCACCTGTTAAGCTAGCCGCACGGTCGTGAAGTGAATCCGGCTTCCCCATTGACCTGGCTGGTCTGAAGGTCGCAAAAGGGGAAATCACGTGACCCCCGGGGAGGGACACTGCGACCGTCATAACTACGAACCGGTGGGCAACATCCGAATTTTGACCGTGGGGAGGCTGCAATGGTCGTTAAGTGTGAAAAATGCTCCTAAGTCCCTTTTTTTTTGGTGCCGTGGTAACTCCAAACCGTCACTAAGCAAGGACTGCCTCTACTGCAAAGGGCGCCATAAATGCACTGCATGGGAATACCCCAAATTCAGTGGCTACCAGGGAAACAAACACGGTTACTCGTCTCTCTCTTTCCTTTCCCTTCCTCCCCCCCCCAAGGTATTGCCTTTCTAAGCCCCCCCCATAACCTCACACCCCCCCGACACACTTCCCCACAATTATTCACGCCTGTTTGCCCCCCACCACCCCCTCCCTGGCACACCTCCGACGACGGACACACTCAGTCCAAACTGGGTCAGCTTTGGAAAGGAAGGCTGGCATTCCAGTGGGAGGGGGGGAAGCAAAAAAGGGAGACCCCCCCCCCGTTCCTCCCCACCTGGAAAGTGGGGCAGGGGTCTGAACGATGCCCCCACCGCCCCTCTTTCCGCCCTTGGGGAGGGCAGAAAGGGAAGGAAACCAGCCCCAGGAAGTGAAATACTTTGTAGGAAAGAAAAGGCAGGGAATTGGGTCGCGTCCAAAGTTTTGCTTCTCGGGGTTCAGAAGGAGAGAAAAAAAAGCAGGAAGGGGAGGGGTGAGTTTGGGGAGGGGAGGGGGTGTAAGGCCCATTTTCTCCTGTTCCAAAAGGCAGGATGTGCGAGATAGGGAGTCCTCGACTTACGATCATTCGTTTAGCAACGGTTTGAAGTTACGACACTGAAAAAAGTGGCTGATGACCAGTCCTCGCATTTATGACCTTGACAACAAGCCCACTCACCTGATCAAAATTTGGCCACTTGGCATCCTTCCTTCCTTATTTCCTTCCTTCCTTCTCATCTTTTTCCTTCCTTCCTTCCTTCTCTTCCTCCATCTCCTCTCTTCCTCTTCCTTCCTTCTTTTCATCACCCTGTTTTTTCTTTCTCCCTCCTCTTCCTTCCTTCCATCTCCCTTTCTCCCTCCCTCCTTCTTTCTTTCCTTCCTTTATTTCTTCCTTTTCCTTCCTTCCTTCCCTCCATCTCCTCTCTTCCTCTTTTTCCTTCCTTCCATTTCCCTTCCTTCCTTCCTTTCCTTCCTTCCTTCTTTCCTTCCTTCTCTGTCTCCTCTCTTCCTTTATTTCCTTCCTTCCTTCCGTCTCCTTTTCTCTTCCTCCTTTTTCCTTCCTTCCTTCCTTCCTTCCCTCCGTCTCCTCTTCCTCTTTTTCCTTCCTTCCATTTCCTTCCTTCCTTCCTTCTTTCCTTCCTTCCCTGTCTCCTCTCTTCCTCTTTTTTATTTCCTTCCTTCCTTCCCTCCGTCTCCTTTTCATTTATTCATTCATTTATTTATTAGATTTGTATACCGCCCTACTCCTGAAGGACTCAGGGCGGTGAACAGGCACAGAATAAAACACATAAATACAAAAGTTAAAAAACATAATTAAAACCAAATTAAATAATTTCGCCCGAGATAATTAAAATTCCCAATAATTTAAAAACAAATTAAAATTTCAGTTTAAAAAATTTAAAAGAAAGGGGAGAAAATTTTCTCTTCCCTTCCTTCCTTCCTTCCTTCTGTCCCTCTCTTCTCTTCCTCTTTTTCCTTCCTTCCATTTCCCTTTCTCCTTCCTTCCTTCCTTCTTTCCTTCCTTCCCTGTCTCTCTTCCTTTATTTCCTTCCTTCTCTTCCTCCATCTCTTCTCTTCCTCTTCCTTCCTTCCTTCTTTTCATCACCCTGTTCTTTCTTTCTCCCTCCTCTTCCTTCCTTTCATCTCCCTTTCTCCCTCCCTCCTTCTTTCTTTCCTTCCTTTCTTTCTTTTCCTTCCTTCCTTCTGTCCATCTCCTCTCTTCCTCTTTTTCCTTCCTTCCATTTCCCTTTCTCCTTCCTTCCTTCTTTCCTTCCTTCCTTCGTTCCTTCCTTCCCTGTCTCCTCTTTTCCTCTTTTTTATTTCCTTCCTTCCTTCCCTCCATCTCCTCTCTTCCTCTTTTTCCTTCCTTCCATTTCCCTTTCTCCTTCCTTCCTTCTTTCCTTCCTTCGTTCCTTCCTTCCCTGTCTCCTCTCTTCCTTTTTTATTTCCTTCCTTCCTTCCCTCCATCTCCTCTTCCTTTTTCCTTCCTTCCATTTCCCCTTTTCCTTCCTTCCTTCCTTCTTTCCTTCCTTCCTTCGTTCCTTCCTTCCATGTCTCCTCTCTTCCTGTTTTATTTCCTTCCTTCCTTCCCTCCATCTCCTCTCTTCCTCTTTTTCCCTTCCATTTCCCTTTCTCCTTCCTTCCTTCCTTCTTTCCTTCCTTCGTTCCTTCCTTCCCTGTCTCCTCTCTTCCTTTTTTATTTCCTTCCTTCCTTCCCTCCGTCTCCTCCCTTCCTCTTTTTCCTCCCTTCCATTTCCCCTTTTCCTTCCTTCCTTCGGTCCTTCCTTCCCTGTCTCCTCTCTTCCTCTTTTTTATTTCCTTCCTTCCTTCCCTCCGTCTCCTTTTCTCTTCCCCTTCCTTCCATCCATCCATCCCTCCCTCCCACTTTCCTATTCTTAAATCAATCAAGGCAGCGAGCATTCCTAATCATCCTGAGGTCCGAAGACCAATTCTTGCCCAGCTATATAATAACATTTTTTGGCACAAGCCCTCGAGACCCCAGCCTTCCTCACAGGGTCGTTGTGACAGTAGAAGCAGGGCAAGGAGTAAAAGACATGCTAACTCTGAGCTCCGATATATTTTTTTTCCAGGCCTTCCCGAAGCTTTTAAAACTGCAGCCGTTCCCGAGGCTGCAAAGGAAAACTCTCCCATTTCCCAAGGTCAGCGCTCCTCCCAATTATCATTGCAGATCACGGTTTAATTATCATTATCATTTTTTACAAGCTTTCATTTCAAGCCGTCAATTTCCCTGCTTGCATCCTTTGCTTAAAAGTCCCAGATCCTGCCAAGGTGAGTGAATTCATAATATAAAATCAAAATATTTTGTTCCTCGGCGCTTCCTGGAAGTGAGCAGAGACGACAAAGGAGGTCACTGGAGGCGCTCGCGGCTGTGAATCATCCTTCGGCCTTGTGCCTTCAGATTAACAGATGAACAGAGTGGGAAGGGACCTCGAAGGTCATCTAGTCCAACCCGCTGCTTTCACACGTGCCCCTAAAAAGGCTAGGATCGCTCGTCGCTTGAGGAACAGTGCCAATCAAATCCTTGCGCAGTTGACGGCGGTGCATTCCTAATTTTGGCAACTTTACGGACTACTAAATGGACTTCAATTCCCAGAATCCCCCAGCTAGCCAAGTTGGGAAAGGGGGAAGGCCGAAGGAGGAGGGGAGGACAGAGGAGATGGTTTAAACCAGGGGGTCTCCAATCTTGGGCACTTTAAGACTTGTGGACTTCAACTCCCAGAATTCCCCAGCCAGCCATGCTGGCTGGCTGGGGAATTCTGGGAGTTGAAGTCCACAAGTCTTAAAGTGCCTAAGGTTGGAGACCCCTATTTACACAGTGTCATAAATGCACAAAATGTGAATTTGGGCAAACTCTGAGAGCCGGGGGGGGGGTTGGCGTACGATGGTCCACGAGTCGGATACGACCGAAGAGCAAAACAAAAATCAGTCTTTACCCCTTTCTATCACTCCATCATCGATCAATCAGATGTCTCTTTCTTCCTTTTGTCTCTCTTTTTCATTCACCGACTCCGTTATTAGTGGAAGCAAATTTTTGAACTACCTTCACCTATTCTGCCAATCATTCTGTGCAGTCAGGAATGAA